GTGTGTGTGTGTGTGTGTGTGTGTGTGTGTGTGTGTGTGTGTGTGTGTGGCCCCCAGGTGGTGGAGGACTGCTACAACATCCTGAAGGGGTACGGCTTCCGCTTTGTGAGGAGGGGCCCCATCTTTGTGAAGGGGAAAGGGGAACTGCTCACTTATTTTCTCAAGGGAAGAGACAAACAAGGCTCATTTATTAATGGCTCCTCTGTCACTCTGCCTCACCAGGTGGTGGACAGCTAAGGACCACACACACACTCCCCAGCGATCACCTCTAGGGTGTGATGACTGCAGGGCGAGGCAGTGGAGAGAGTTTTTGGAATATAAAGTGATTTGCCTAAAATTGCTCTAATACCTGAATGTTTACAAGTCAAATTAAAACACCACTGACACACTTCATACACACCTGTGACAACCCACCACTCACTACTGAACACACACACACACACACACACACACACATACACATATTCACTGTCTGTGGAAAGATATATGTGCCAGTAGAGATTGTATTTGAATATCATGTTCAAGATGAACCATGGAACTCAAAACATGAAGAATTGGATAAATGAATGAATTAACAGGAAAGATTACAAACTGACAGGAACACCAGGCATCTAGATACAGCAGTAAAGTTGAGGGTTGTCATGCCACCTAGTGGACTGACAGACACATTTAATCATGTATGGCAGCAGTTTATAAAAACTTGTAAATCTAAAATAAATGTCAAGAGATTCTTTGAAAGAGATCCAGTGTTTTGCCCCCATCCTAACGTAATGGAGGTAATTGGAATGTCATTAGTGAGTATGGAATAAGCTTCTCCTGTGACATGGAACAGCTTCTCCACATCTCTCCACCACACTGACGGTGTCTATGAGTGAAAACAGGCTCTGACACACACATGGTCACTCATAACAGATGGATCAGGTTCAGCAGCTACTGGTCAGACTGGTGAAGTTGTTCTGTGGTATGCACCTTAACCACTCAGCTATCAAAACTCACTGCATTTAATTCAGGTCCAATCATATGTCATCTTACTACAGAACAGATTGGATTTATAGAACAGTTATTTATTTGATTGTAAATTGTGAGCATGAGGATGACTAATTCAAACTGACTTCATTTCATTTAAATACAATGATGGTCTTTATGTCTTTCCATAGACATGTCTCAGATAAAAACAGAACATTGATCACAGACACACACACACACCCTCAGCACAGTCACACTCCCTGGCTTTTGGAAGCCCAGACTAAATTTTGGACCGCTGCCCATTTACAGAATACTTCCATGTATGGAAACCTGACGAACTGATCTGAGCTCAGATTTCCTGTCTTTGATGAGGAAGAGGATGTGGAAGAGGACCAATGAGAGGCCAGAGTGTGACGATACAGACTGATCTGCCACCTGTTGCTGCCAATGTGTGGTTGTGTATAATAGTGTGTGCGCATAGTGTATTTTTCCACAGTGAAAGTATTCTCTCCTTCTGATCAGATGTGTCAGTGCTGTGCTCTCCTCTCTGCTCCTGGAGCTCGTACAGCACACTGCAGCGCTGGCTTCTGGGTGTTTCTGTGCCTCAGAGTGTTGAACATGAAGGAGAACACGTGTGTGTACTGTGTGTTTTAGGGGACGGATAGGTGACGGTGTCCAGAGGGTAGCACATATGAAAGAAATATTTTTCAAACTTATTGTGGATTGATGGAAGTGCCTATGACAGCTGTGATCACCATGTTTTCATGTAGTTAAACCATTCCATGGCCTTCTACAGGCAGGGGAGATTCTCAGAGTCCTTTCACAGTATTCCTGTTTATTTCAACTTACTCTGGTCAGAATTTGTATTGGTTATTGTACAGTTGATAGCTGAGATGAGCAGACACGATGACATTACTAAAAGACACCCACCAGCAGTCAGAGGATCGGGCAGGTTGGAAACACAGCAGCAGGTTAGCCAAACTTATTTGAAGAGAAAAAGAAGGCAAACTGTAAAATGATTCATCAATTACAGTTTTCAAATTTGGCTGCACTTCCTGTAGTTTTGTGCACAGTTTTCCTGGGATTTCAGGTGACTCACTTTCAGTTTACACTTAATATAAAATGGTATAGATGAGCTGATGAAAGTGTTTGTATCCAACCTGTGTGAATATCTGACTGCTCCTGTTTCTTGACCCATTAGACCTATTTCAGTGATGTCACTTTGACATATGATCTCAGCAATTAACATGGAGAGAACAATGTTTGAAAAGCCAAAAAGGACACAAGCTGTCATAAACTGGAATTTTCCTTTAACTGCATAGTAGTCATGTGGAAGAAGAAGGCTGGAATGAAAGATTTTAGAATACAGTCAGAAAGTAAATTTCATATTGTAAAATGACGACGGCAACAAAAAGTTCAGATCCATGACGTTGAACTAGTTGCACCTTTCAACGTTGTTAGCTCAAGATTTGGATCAACTCCATTTCATCTGTGTTCATCTGCAATCATCTGTGTGTCTTGTTAGTCTCTGCTTGCTAGGTTGTGTCCAGGGACAAAATGGACATGGACGTTTACCAATGTTGCCAATGTTTTTACAGTTGCACTTGGCTGATGAGGTCTGGTGGTCCAAAAACTTTTTTGGTCCACACAGAAATCGCACAGGCCCTCACATACCTGGGCTGTGTGGCTTTGTGTACACAGACGGTCTAATTGACTCCTAGGAGGACACGTCTTCTAACAGCTTCAGGAGGTCTCACCACCTGGGTCATCTTGGTCCCTCTACCCAAGGTGGAAGTAAGGTGCAAAGGCTTGACACCTAAATCAGACCTAATTACTGACATTTTGGACCAATTGCAGGCAAAGCGGGTGTTTGGAGGAGGTGAGCAAGGCTATCAATAGGTCATGACTCGCATGCAGGGGTTCTCTTTAGCCACAAACATTTGCTTGTGATTACACACCAAATTCTAATTGCATTAAGGGAACTGCTGACATTACTCCCCTGAAGTTTGTATTTGGGATGACAGCAGTGACATGCAGCAGAATCGGCACACCCACCTGGCAGGAAGCAGATGTACTGTATGTGTGTTTAGAGGGAAAGTAAATGTATACTGCTTATTCCTCTGCTGATGGTAAAGCCCATTAATGTCTCTGTAGAATGGGATGAAAGTGCAATAGTTTCTTCTTCTACAAACCTGACATTCCTCTTCAGGAAAGCTTAAATCATTCCTTCCCCTTTAATTCATATTTTTATAATGTAATGTACAAGTTCTGTTCTATTTAAAGGGAAAACGTGAAAGGACTGAATGTGTCCTAGTTGCACGTAGAGTTTAGACAGTGTTTATTGGTCAGATTTATTTATTGGAAATGACGGACATTGTTTTGTTTTTCTTACATAGATGTGAAAGTGCCAATCATAAAGGAATGGCTTTAAATGAAACCACAGCTGTTTCCTGATTTGTAATGTAAAAGAATCTCAGGCTTGGGAACAACATTTGAATAATGTGTGATGATCTAGAGCAACAACACAACACTGACAGGTGGTCCGGAGAGCCCGCGGCAGCAAGGCCAGCTGATGGCATCAGAACAACAAACCGATTCAATCTTGTGGTTCTAGTTGTTGTTTCCGTTCAGCTTTTGTCAAAATTTGATAAAGAACTCTGATTCCACAGTTTTAGTGGTTTCAATTAGATAAACTGTAGATCCCACTTCTGGTTTTAAGTTGAAAGAATTCTCATTTAGTGTACCCTCTTTCATTTCAGTTGTCATCATAAGGTGAGTTAATTAAAAAAAATCCCAAAAGACGTGCTTCAGTCTAATGATTACTGCACAGTAGGTGGAAACTACAGCACCTTGACTGTGGAAGAGCTCAACACGTCTGCAGGGTGACGGGATGGAGCAGAGTATCGGCTAATGAATCGCTCCGGCATCACAGCTGCTGCATTGCTTTGATTTTGGCTGCTTTATTTGCGCATGCTAAGTGAAATAGATTTAGCTTGGTGCTTTGAAAAGAGAGATTACATTACTATATACTGCATTGTGTAATGTATATGTACAGGTAAGTGTCAAAAAGAGTTGAGATCCCAGGAGAGCTGCCTTAAATGAAGGAATACATGTTCGGTATGTGAATCAGGCTAAGGGGACATAAAGCGTATACTTGGAGTTAAAGGATGAAATCTAATAATCATATTAATGCAAGTGTGTAGTATGTAGAATTATGAAGTGATTTAACAAATGTAAAACTGATAATAATAATAATGTATGTGTAACTGAGTAAACTGAAGTCTGTGTGTGTGTGGAAAGCTGATGTAAGCAGGGTGGGGGCCTTAAAGGCTGAGATCATAACAGATGGAGTGTTGTCCGAGCACATACACGGGTGTAACCTGACATGCTCAGAGCATTGAGGAAGTGAGAGCACCCACACAGGGAAGTTAGGTAGTTTCCAGAACACACACACACACACACACACACACAGAAAGATGGGTGTTGTTCGCAGCACATACACATAATCAATGATGTCATGATAATCATGTGCCGAGTTAGGAAGTGTTGGGGAGGGGGGGGGGAGAGAGAGCTCAAAGTGTTATAAAAAGAGAGACTTGCAAATAGCAAGACGGGATTCATCGCGGGACGCCGACCAAGTGCTCCATGGAGAAACACTGGACCTCGTTGGACAGCCGCATCGGAGGACTTCGTCTCTGTTCACGGAAAGAAGACAGCCGTTAGTGGCCAAAGATTGAAAGACGGAGATTTTCCTCTCCCCCCTGTTTGACTTTAACAACCGGACAACAGATGGACGCAGCCGCCCTAAAGACTTTGTACTGAGCCTGAGGGATCGCTGAACGGACTTCGTTGGCCGCGCAGGAGGAGCTGAAGGTCAGGCCGGACCTTCGCTCCTAAAAACCCCAAAAGGACTTTTTTATAACATCGTGAATCCAGCTCCACCGAGCCGCCTCGGCATCGAAACTAATGAGTATAATCTAAGAAGAAATTGTAACCTGATCGAATCAAGCATCGTATTATTTTATGTGAGCTGTAGCTGTGCCCCTGCTAATATATCCTGCAATAAATATCTAATCTGCATTTAAAGTAAATTTCTCAAGAGAATTCATTTGCCCAAGTAGTAAAAGTTCCTCATGGCAGTAAAAGGTTAAATCTATTGTATGTTAACAAGAGTTCTTAATGGTTATCCTAGTGACCGGTCCACTTAACAGTCCCTTACGGTTTTAGTTGTGATCCTAGCCGTTAAAATCGAACCTGGCAATTTACCAAGAGCCCGGATCCAAAAGAGGAAAGCTGCCATAACTGACGCGACTGGTAGAAGCGCCCGGCCAGGGTGGCCCCTCGGCCGAGTGCACGTTACCGGAGGAAGCAGGGTAGACGTCAGGAGTAACGGTAGTTAGCAGAAGCCAGGCGAGTTTCCTTGACAGAACACCAGCTCGCCAATCTTTTAATAGAGAGCTGAGTCAGTAGGTAGCCCCGTATCGGGCCAGAAAACCCCCGGATCTAAGATAAGTAACACTACAAAAATATGAGGCATCTTAATACTACAATTAATATATCAGAAAGTGGTATTAACAAAATGTACAGTTGTGGGTACAAATCTGAAAGTGCAAGTGAAGTAAACAGTAGATGAATGGAAGATAAGTAATACAAGAAACAATAAAATACAAGTCTGCAGTTTGTCCTAGTTAAAGGGAAAAAAGCCTTCACTGACAAAGAAGCTCAATGAAGGTTCAACATACAACTCAACATTGTTTTATGAGTATTTTCATGTAATTCATTTATTGTTTCATTTATTTATTTGTCATTTTCTGCAGCAAATACTCCATTAAAGGGGCACCCTGGTTCCACGCTCTGTACTATTCACGATCCAATAAACTGTTATTTTATGTGTAAGGAATATTCAATACTCACCTGATGCTGAAGCTGTCTGTGAACACATCGGGCTTTCTCTCTGCTGATGCTGAAGCTGCAGAAAGCACTCTCCCTCATCTGGGTGCGCACATGTAATTGTAATCTGTTAAAAATAAGTACAACTTGTTGACAGGCAGGGGCCTGGCTTGTTTGGAAATACTTTTAATATGTATCCACAACTGATGTAATCTTTGTTGCCCTTTTTGAGAAACTGATTAAAATACAAATAATTTGGCCTCAAAGGAAAAGCTTAGTCAATCTAACTCTACAGAGTTGAGTGAGCAGGTGGGCTTTTTACGATAACATTGACACTGCAGTCTAATACTGAGTAGAAGGACCCTGGACAGCACAAGTGTTCCACTGGATCTGCTAGTGTTGGGGCTGCAGGTAGCCTACACTTTTTACAGGCAAGTAATCCAGCACCGTAACACAGACACGTGAGGCCCCCGGAGCTGACCCTGAGGGCCCCTTCCAGCAGCACAGAGCAGGTGAATTTGAACATCTTTCATAGTGAGGATACAAAATGTGACAGACTACTTTAGAACACTGGACACAGATGATTGAGTCGATTTTAAACTGTTGAGGCTTTTTTAAGCGTTTCAAATTGTGTCACACCATCCCTAAGGTGCTGGGACTGTGGAAGGATTGGATCTTTGAGATAACAGCGTAGGGCAACATAAGAAAATGACCTGAAAGTATTTGTCAAGAACACCCATTGTGAAGGCCAATGAATGTGCAGAAGAGCCCGCAGTGAGAATGAAGTCATCTTTAATACTCATCTTTTATCAAATGATTTGAATCATTCACATTTGAATTGATCTTTTCCTGTATAACCATTACTGCATTAAAATATGAAGAAGCAATTATGGTGTGAGCGACTGGGCCTGATGTTTTTATACCAGGCTATAATATAATAGGCTGACACTGAAACACAGAAATAAACCACAATATCAGCGGGCTGTAACTTGAACAATTTAAATTGAGACATTATAGATAAATAAATAAAATAGAGGATAGCGCCCCTAACGACGACGCAGCCAATGCGCAGCACGCGCAAAAAGACGTGAAGGAATTTCTGACGTCACTGTGTATGTCTATAACAAGCTGCAGCTGTCTGAGAGCAACAATAACAAGCTCGACCCAGCAACACACCGAGGCTTTGACCGCACCTGACAGCAAACAACAGCACGGGGTTTCTCAAAATGTGGCCGTCGAAATAACTCTGGTCTCCGTTTCTTCATCGTGCGAGTCATAATCCGGGTTATCGTCACCAACACCGCCGCGAAACAAACACGGAGACTCGGCCGCAGGTGAACAGGGCAGTTCGAGGCTGCATCTAGGTCAGTGGGCCTCTCGGCGGCAGTACTGGTGGTTTTGTTTATATATATATATATATATATATACAGCGAGTCCTCTGCATACACCGTGGTAACATGCAGGCTAACGGGGCAGGACAGGACCGAGATTCAGAACAGTACTGCCCAAACGGTGCGCAGAACAGCGAGTCGTCCTCCACCGGAGTAGCTCACTCTAACGGACTTCTAACGGAGTCGGCCCCAAACAATGGAAACACCGTCAGTAACAACAACGGAGTGTCAGCTCAGCCTCCGTCCAACAACAGCAACAGCACGGCGGAGGCCAACTCGGGCGTGAAGAAGAAGAAGCGTTTGTCCCAGTCTGAGGAGGATGTCATCCGGCTGATAGGACAACATTTACACGACCTCGGTCTCAAGTAAGTGAGCCAGCTGGACATCACTTACTGTCAACAGAATGATCCTCCAGTGACCTGTGGACATGTTGTCTTCTCTCTAGTCATGGGAGAGAAACAAAGCCAGCCTCTCAGAGCACCAGCAGTGGGATGCTTGTCATTCATATCTATATCTATATCTATATAGATAGATAGATAGATAGATAGATAGATAGATAGATAGATAGATAGATAATCTATATCTATCTATCTATATCTATATCTATATAGATAATCTATATCTATCTATCTATCTATCTATCTATCTGCTAACATTCATAAACACACCTGGGTACATGGTACACATCTGAAGGCCTATACATGATCCACAAAGCATGGGGCTGCAGTAGATGAGACAACACTGGCCTGAAGTTTTTCATGGAATTCAAACTGTTTGTCATCCTGTTAAATGGAAAAAAATATTAATTATGTTATCAAATTTAGCTCTGTGGATATGTTCGCCATAGTGAAGAATTGCTCCAAAACATTCTGAAAAAAAGGTCAAGTTGGGACAAATTCAGTCATTCTGCTCAACGTTGCTTAATTTTCAAATGGAGTTTGCATGTTCTATTTACTCTTCATGAGTCTGTGTGTGGCAGCCTGTGAGAGAGGAGCACAGTGTTTACATGTCAGTGTGACCCATAGTCATGTCAATATACTGGAAGTCCTCACAGTTAAATGGGACGCAATAAACTATCAAAGGCCGAGAGTTCTAAAAGGATATTGGTCCTTGGTCGATATTTGAGGCTCCATTACCAACCTGTTGCAAACCGTAGCACAGACACGGTAAAACAGCGTTGTTACAGTCCTTGGTGATCTTCTCAGTCATTCAGAAAACACTAAACACAAAAAGAGAACTCCAGGATGGGCATCTCTCCACACAAGAAGCACAACTAACCAGGGCTGTACTTGATGACGTTTTTCTGTCTGGACATGTGGAGCTTCTATTGAGGTTTAGAAATGAAGCTGTAAATACTCGGCCTCATATTTCATGATGATTGGATTACCCCCCCCCCGTGCTGCTGCTGTGGCTCTGTGCTTACTGTCACACAATCATATGTTATTTATCAGTCGGTCACATGACACAACTTTACTTGTTCAAGTTCAAGTTCCAGTCATTGCATTAAAGATTGATCATGAGTGCTGAAGTTATTATTATGACGTTGATTGATTTTTCCTCTGCTGTGTCATTGTTGACAGTCAGACGGTGGACCTCCTGATGCAGGAGTCGGGCTGCAGACTGGAGCACCCCTCTGCCACAAAATTCCGCAATCATGTCATGGAAGGAGAGTGGGACAAGGTGAAATGCATATCTATATCTAATGTCTAATTTACCTGTGCTTGAAATCTATGCTAGTCAGTGCTTGTCTAGTAATTGTCTTATCTTTAGTGAATCCTTCCCCGTTTGTGTTGATCATGCTTTTTCCCTCTCTTTATTCAGGCTGAGAGTGATCTGAATGAGCTAAAGGCGTTGATGCAATCTCCGAGTGCTATAGTGGTAAGTGGCAAGCCCAACACTCCTCAGACCACTGACAGACAGCTTTGTCTCTATGCCGTGTTCAACAAACATTTTATGTACAGCTTTGAAAATGGGGACAAAATAAAACAAACCACCAGTAATTAGTGCTTGCGTTCAAACATTTATGTCGGTACCACAGAATAAAAAAGGGAAACCATCAAGAAGTTTCATCGAACAAGCACAGGAAAAACACAAGGACTTAAATCGAGACTTCAATGAGTACTTAATGTCAGCTCGGAGAACAGAAATACATCAAGCATGTCAAGTTATTAAACTTGACATGCTTGATGTCAAGCCCCTGTATGTTAGCCGTTAGCGGTGCTGCTAACGTTACTAGCTCTCCTGTTGATTTAAACATGATTGATTGTTTACAATGAAACATTATCAGAGATCAGAAAAGCATAAATGCAGATGTCCTGATCGCATATGTTACTGAACGATGTCAGTCAACTTTATTTCACACTGATGTTTAACCTTAAACTGTGTAATTAATCCACGGTTCACATGCGTGCCGAACCGTGAGGGGGGATCCGTGCAAATCACGGATCGACAGTGGTCCGTTACATTTAACGTTATCCGCTATATTTTGATAACGTTCAAATTTACCTTGACCCAATACGAAGGTAAATTTTGGGCCAAGGTAAATTTGAGTATGATGTGTTCAGGCTCTGTTTCACTGAACAGACCCTGAACGCATCATAATATAACCGAATGGAACCTTCGTTCATTGGCCGTTAACAATGCTGCTAACATTACTAGCTCTCCTCCTGTCAATTTAACCATTTAAACACGATTGGTTGTTTACAATGTAACATTATCAGAGATTGGCGACTAGAAAAACCTAAATGCCGATGTCCTGATCGCATATTTTACTGAATATTGGTCGATAACGATTTTGAAATGAAGTTTTACTGACACTGTGATGGTTAACTTTAAACTGTGTAATTGATACGGAGTTCACATCCGTGCGAAACCGTGAGGGGGGGGGGGGATCCGTATGGATCACAGATCAACAACTGTGGGCTATCATATGGTCCTTTCGCCAGTATTTGACAGGCCACCCCTTTCGCATCATCACAGACCACAAACCCCTTCTCTCCTTGAGGAAGATGGCTCTGGACAATTGAATATAAACAAGGAACTAAACACGCCAATGCTGACTCTATGTCCTGTCGTCCTCTGACAGCTGAAGAAACCACTGCTATGGTTGCAGCCAATCAGGTGAGATGTGTTTCCATTCACACGCAAACAGACACAGCAGAGTCACTCTCATGCGCTCCAACCACTGAACTGGCATCAGAGTCTGTCCCACTGCCTCACCTGCTGCGGACATAATATCGCAGGTGCAGTCTGCATCACCTGATACTGCAGCGGTAACTATGGACAATTCACTCCTGAATATGAACAGACCGTTCCTCATCCAAGCTCAAAAAGCTGATCCTGTGTTGTAAATAATCCTGAACTGGGTGTTGACTGACAGTAGGCCGCCATTTTTCGAACATTAAAGCAGTCTCACCTGACATGAGACGGTACTGGAGAGACTCCGCCTTGTTGATGGTCCCTTATGTCACAAGGTCAGACCTCCACCAGGTGACCCTGTTTTACAGACCGTAGTACCCAGTAGTTTACAGAAGGAGGCATTTCAAACATTACGTGGACATTCACTCTCTGGACATTTCAGTGTGCAGAAGACACTGCAAGGGGCACAAGTCAGATGCTATTGTCCTCACATAAGAGCACTACTATGATTGTCGGTTGAAACACACAGCCTATGAGCCGGGTGACTTGGTGTGCGTTGACCTTCCTGCCCTTGTAGACAAAAGCTGTCGCCAAAGTGGTCTGGCCCTTTCAAAGTGCTGCAAATGTTAGGCTCTGGCAGTGGTGACATTGGAGTGGCCTATGAACTGTTGGATCCGCCCTCACCTTCAGGAGGGGCTGCAGCAGCAAACAGCCCAGGTCCCTCATTGCTTATTGCACTCTCTGGCTCCAAACCTTATGTTTACTGGAGCCCAGCCACTGTGCCTCCAGATAGGACTCAGACTAATATTAAGGAGCTGTCACTACCATAACACATGTGGGAGACAATACTGCCACAGGATCTTCCAGTGAACTGTCTCCGGTAGTGCTGCCTTTTGAAGGAGTAATGACCAAGTCTGGCCTCTGTATGCATCCCCCAGTATGTTATGGAACTGTTGGATGAACTTTTGCTTGTTCTTGCTGGTGGATTAACAAGCATGTAGACGGAGAAAGACTGTTATGGACAGACAAAAAAAAGTGTATGCTGTTCTATTTTTTTTATTTTTTTTTATACTCTTTACTGTTGCTCCTTTTTTATTACCTGTTTATATTGGTGTTAAGCGTAAGTTGGTAAGTGTACCTTAGGTTATAAATTCAGCTATTTTGAAGTGAGGATACTTTTGGTGGGGGGATGTGTAAGAGTGGAATTGTGTGATGTAAACATAATTACATAAACACAGGTTTAAACATAATTGTGCATGTACAAACAAGTTCTCCCACACAACTTCCCTTCTCCGTTCTCTACACTGGCTCCCTGTAAGAGCTCGCATCCAGTTTAAGACTCTGGTGCTAGCCTACAGGCAGTGAAAGGAACAGCTCCTTCCTATCTCCAGACCATGGTCAAGCCCTACACCCCCGCCCGACCACTTCGCTCTGCTGCCACGGGGCGATTGGTTGCCCCGTCGCTCAGAGGTCCCTGCGGCCAATCGACCCTGTCACGGCTGTTTTCTGTCCTGGCCCCACAGTGGTGGAATGAACTCCCCACTGACGTCAGGACAGCAGAGTCGCTGCCTATCTTTCATCAGGCTGAAGACTCACCTCTTCAAGAAGTACTAACTTCTGCTCTGGTTTATGCTCTTAGATGCTTGTTTAAAAAAGGAGATGCACTTATGACTTCTTGTGACTAGTAGTTCTCTTGAACACCTATGTTGAAAACACTTATTGTAAGTCACTTTGGATGAAAGCGTCTGCTAAATGACTAATGTAATAAGTTTAGTATGATATTGAATTACTGTCTGTCATCTTGTTTACACATTTAGAATCTACAGTACAGTATCTACATGTTAGTTGATGATCTGATAGCAAATATGAGCACTAGTGGGTGCTGTTCACCCGGCTGGAGGTGATAGGGTTAAGTGAGGAGAGAGGAGAAAAAGAGGAGAGTGAGGAGAAGTTGGTTTTGAGCTCTTCTGGTTGAGATGTCACTAAAGTTATGAGGAAAACCCAGAATGTGTTGGACCGATTTATTTCTTATCATACACCCACGTCGCTTACAATATATATTTAAGTCATCCAATACAGTTACCAACACAGTTTACAGCACTAGTTTTTATTTCAAAATATCCTTTCCAAAGTCTTATTTCACCATAACACCATTTTCACCCTAAAGTCAGAGCAGAGCCTGTTTGGTTTGTGATTGCCAATCATCTCAGAGACTTCATACACTAGTGGGGCGACTGTGGCTCAGTGATAGAGCGGGTTGTCCTTCAATCAGAGGATCGGCAGGTTGATCCCTGGCTCTGCTAGTCCATGTCGATGTGTCCTTGGGAAAGACACTACTCCTGCAGGCTGTTCCTGCTGTGTGTGAATGGTTAGACAGTACTGATGGGCAGGTGGCACCTTGCATGGTAGCCCCTGTCATCAGTGTATGAATGGATGTGAAGCGCTTTGAGTGGTTGGAAGACTAGAAAGATGCTATGCAAGTCCAAGTCCAAGCCAAAAAGCAAAGGCTGATGACGGCGCATACTCTGCTGTGACAATGCTGTCTGTACGCCTGTCTGCCAACTTCTGTGTCCTATTCGTCTAGTATTGTCTGTCACTAAGATTGAACTGTACAAGGTGATCTAGATCTCATTAATGTATTTAATGAGAAGATGGTGCAGTTTGAACCTGAGCTGAAAATGTCCTCTGCAGTCGTAGTATAGGGAGCTCTCTTGTGCAGAGAAATTGTTCCCGTCAGTCCCGTCCCACACATGTTTGTAGATTCGTCCATTTGTAATGCAAAATGACCACTTGCCTTAATTCGAGCTGTGGTCTGTTTGAAGTCATCCGACATGTCTTCAATTCAATACTTAGTGTCATTTGACAGGAGGTATAGTTTTCAGTTTATCTTCTGATATTAGCATTACAAGGCATTAACGCCAAATATTGTTAATGAGTGAATAGATGGCACTCCGCTGCATAAAAAATCCCCTTCAAAAGAAAAGCATTTTTGTTTTTTGTCAGGCAAAGGCCCGCGACCCACTGGTTGAGAATCACTGGTCTAGTGGGTAGCTCAGCTGCTAACACTGTACTCAAATCCACACCACTGTCCCTGTAACAGGCCTTTTGAATTACCTCGTAACAGCGAGCCCACAGTTGAAAAGACTCACGGCCACCGTTGTGAAATGGTGGCGGTAGAGGAATGCCTCATGGTGCTTCCGAGGCGCTGCTGGTCGGCGGCAAAACTTCCCTCCGTGGGGTGAGAGGGAGCACTACGTAATTTATAACACAATATAAAGAATTCAAATACTTTGCACTAAAATGTTAAGATTTGGACGTGAATGTGAGGGTTGACGGTTTTCTGTGAGGGTTTCGGTGTAGAGCAGAGACTCGGGTGCAGACACAGGAAACAAGGTGAGGTAAAATGCAAGGTTCTTTAGTGGGCACCAAGCAGTCAAGAACAGGAACCAAAAACAACTCCAACAGGGAGCGGGAAAAAATCCAAACTGAATAAAAAGGCAAAGTCACAAAAAAGGTAGTGTCACAAACCATGGGACGGAGAGGGTAAACACGAGGGATGAACACTGGAGACAAGATGAGCCCACAGGGAGGGACAAGGCCGAAACATGAAGCACCCCGGGGGAAGAACAAATGACAATCCGACAACCGGAACAGGGAAAGCAGAGGAGTATAAATGTGTGTGGGGTGATGAGAAGATTGCAGGCAGGTGAGTTGAAATGAGTGGGGTTGGCAGAGGAAAAAGCCAGGGACAGGTGACTGGGCACAGGTGATGAGAATGAGCAACGATCAGGAGGCACACACACAACGCCAAGCCCAACCGTGACAGTGAATCCATCAACTAAACATCTACTAATTCCCATATATGTTGGTTTTCAGCAGAACAAAGAGGTTTAGGTGTTTAGCAACTCTTTAAGGATTATTTTATTTGACCGTGTTGATATTTGTATTGATTTTGTTAATGAATAAAAACATTTTCCAAATTGTTTGGTGTTTTTTTTATGCATGTTTGTATTTGTTCAAAAAAACTAAAACTAATATCTAAAACCCAAAATTGAAAACGAGACCTATCCTATGCACCAACATCCAAATAGCTGAATGTTTGGGTCCAGGCCAAAATGTCAAGAGTAAATGTTGCAGAACACACAGACTAATTGCAGACTAATTATTTGTTATTTGGGCCTTGTCCTCCTGTAGCGGATGAAGTTCCTGTTGCTGCAGCAGAAGTATCTGGAGTATCTGGAGGATGGAAAGGTCCTGGAGGCCCTGCAGGTCCTCAGAGCGGAGCTCACCCCTCTCAAGTACAACACCGAGCGTATCCACATTCTGAGCGGGTCAGTTCACCAGAAGACAGAGAAGCTGTCTGGAATGTGTATGGAAGCGGAGTTTTCATTTACACAGAATACAACAACAATTACAACGTGAAATGTTGCTCATTGTCTTCATGTTTAAATTTGACTTTTTCCATGTTGCAGTAGAATGTGTCAAATCCCCCGGAACTGTGGTTGAGTACTGAAGCTGCAAACAACCTTTGTGACAGAATTCCATTGTGGAACGGATGTAGAATCCTCTAAAACAACAAGACCATCACAGAACACTAAAACACTAGCACAATAGAACCCAATCCACACAGACAGGGTTCATCCCTTTCCATCAACGTACATGTATTACTCTCCTCAGTGGTCCTCAGAGCTCCTCCTGCTGAGAGCAGCTCCAGATAGAGCTGTCCATGTGCTCTCTTTTCCCAATGTCTGCAGTAGTGGGCAGATACAGACAAATTGTTCCAAACTGTGATCTTTATTCTTGGAATAGCAGCAAAACAAGCAACCCTTCATTATAGACATGAACACTCTCTCACCCACATGTCCCTGCTACACCAGCGATGGTACAACCAATGAGAATTTGGTCAGAGAAACATATCGTCCAACCATTGGACCAACAGACCCGAGGGTGTCAGCCTTAGTTGAAAATTTGATCTGAGGGGGGGAGCTTGAGGAACTATCTTAGTCACCATAAACAATGAAAACATAAGACGGCATCCTCTGGGGACCATGAGCGTCCACAGTGAATAGCATGTGGTACATGCTTAAAACAAGACTAGGTGCTGAGATATGGAACTCTGGATCAAACTGACCTAGGCCAAATATATACAGTTGTGTGAAAAAGTGTTTGCCCCCTTCCTGATTTCTTATATTTTTTGCATGTTTGTCACACTTAAATGTTTCAGATCATCAAACAAATTTAAATATTAGACAAAGATAACACAAGTAAACACAAAATGCAGTTTTTAAATGAAGGTTTTTATTATTAAGGGGGAAAAAAATCCAAACCTACATGGCCCTGTGTGAAAAAGTGATTACCCCCCCCCCTGTTAAAACATAAATTAACTGTGGTTTATCACATCTTTGGAAAACTGAGTTCAATTTCTCTAGCCACACCCAGGCCTGATTACTGCCACACCTGTTCTCAATCAAGAAATCACTTAAATAGGACCTGCCTGACAAAGTGAGGCAAACTAAAAGATCCTCAAAAGCTAGACATCATGCTGCGATCCAAAGAAATTCAGGAACAAATGAGAAACAAAGTAATTGAGATCTATCAGTCTGGAAAAGGTTGCAAAGCCATTTCTAAAGCTTTGGGACTCCAGCGAACCACAGTGAGAGCCATTATCTACAAATGGCGAAAACATGGAACAGTGGTGAACCTTCTCAGGAGTGGCCAGCCGACCAAAATTACCCCAAGAGCGCAGCGACGACTCATCCAAGAGG